ATCAACCTTTTCACCCAAACATGCATTGAAGTTCAACAGTAATGACTCATGGATTTTTAAATTTTTATTATGAATTATTTTATTTTTCTTATAACCACAGGAGAAATGAACAAGAAAACTCTTCCTAGAGAACTTGAACAATAAGAAGAGTTACATTTGTTTTTTTGAGAAAAGCTATAAGCATGGCTGAGGGCTAGAAGTGAACAATGGACCCATATCTCAGATGATATTTGCTTGTTTTTAGTTATAAGGCAAGACATTTTCATTGTTGAACAAAACAGTGAAAAAAATTTCATTGCTTTCTCTTTCCTTCGCCCAATCACTTGGGACCTTCTTATTTGTTTGTTCTGATTCAAAAGACAAAGAAGAAAGAACTGAATAAATTGGGCCAATGAATGAAAACATGTTATTTTAATTGGATATTATAGTAGTTGTCGTAACAAACTGGTTGGCTTAAAATGAGGGAAACTATTTTTTCATAGTTTTGGAGGCCAGAGGTCAGAAATCAAGGGATTGTCAGGGCCATGGTCTGGGAAATTTGATGGTCAACCACTGAGCCACATTGTTAGGGCTGTTTTACCCTTTTGATAACTGCTGACAGCTAGTTAGAGGCAATGATTTTTCTCTTAGAGCTTAATTAATGTGTAAAATGTACTTTTAAATATGTTTTGCTTAAAGTCTTAATAAATAATCAAAATTCCTTTTTCCCTTATTTATCTGACTGCAAAATTACGCAAATCTTTTCCACAGAATATTTGTGAAACATTAAGCAATAAGTCAGATTTCAATGAAAATGTTCTTCCTACTAGCTCATTTTCTGTACTAGTGAATGCTAATACCTTTGTATTACTCCATTTCTCCTCTATCTACTGTACCTATGGGAATATGCTGACTTAGGCACAAATCCATTTAATCACTCCTTTGTTTTACTGAGTGCCTCCCACATTCCCCGTACTATGTGAATGAGCAGACTGCAGACATGATTAAGACACAGGTTTGGAGATGCGATATGAAGATGGAGGCAAAGGTAAAGGCCTGTACTCTCTACCTCCCACAACCACATCAAAATTACAACTAAAATACAGAATAACCAACATCCAGAACTGCCAGAAAGCTGGCTGAATGGAAGTCCTATAACTAGAGAAGTAAAGAAGAAAGCACACTGAGATTGGTAAGAAGTGCGGAGTCACGGAATGGGCTGGTCCAGCACTCATGTGAGTCCCTTTTTTAATTGGAAGGAGATTACCTCTGTGGAGGCTGCCAGAGGACTACACCAAGGCACATAATAATTAAAATGCGAAGGGCAAAAGACAAAGAGAGAATCTTAAAAGCAGCAAGAGAAAAACAGTTATCTACAAGGGAATGCCCATACCACTGTCAGCTGATTTCTCAACAGAAACTATGCAGGCCAGAAGGAAGTGGTAAAAAAATATTCAGTGATGAATAGCAAGAACTTACAACCAAGATTACTCTACCCAGCAAAGCTATCATTTAAAATTGAAGGTCAGATAAAGAGTTTCATAGACAAGAAAAAACTAAAGGAGTTCATCACCACCAAACCAATATTATATGAACTTTTGAAGGTTATTCTTTAGGAAGAGGAAAAAGGCCCTGGCTGGATTGGTTCAATGGATAGAGTAAAGGGTCCCAGGTTTGATTCCTGCCAAGAGCACATGCCTGGGGTGCAGGCTAGATCCCCGGTAGGGGGTGTACAGGAGGCAGCCAATCAACGATTCTCTTTCATTATTGATATTTCTATCTCTCTTTCCATCTTCCTCTCTAAAATAAATAAAATATGTTTTAAAAAAAAGAGGAAAAAGAAGGTCAAAATTATGAACAATAAAATGGCAATAAATACATATCTGTAACAATTGAATCTAAAAATTAAAATAAATGAACAAGAAATCTAATGAACAGAATAAACTGGTGAATAAAATAGAATCAGTGACCTGGAAATGGAACAGACTGATGATTCTCAGAGGGTAGGGGCTTAGGGGAGCGGGAAGAGATTTAATAAAGATCTTATATGCATATATGCATTATCTATGGACACAGACAATAGGATGGCAAAGGCCTGGGGAATGGGGTGGATGGGAGCAATGGTGGGAAAAAAGAGGGACATCTATAATCATCTCAACAATAAAGATAATAATATTATAATAAAAAAAAAGATAGGTTTAGGCCTGACCAGTGTTGCTCAGTGGTTGAGTATCAACCTGTGACCCAGGAGGTCATGGTTTGATTCCCTGTCAGGACACATGCCCGAGGAAAATAAGCAAATTTTAAGTATGTGGCATTGCATATGTTGGAAGAGAGATATTTGTGATAAAAAATTGGATGCAGCCTGAAGAAGAGAGTGCAGATCTGTGCAAATGGGCTATGTATCTGGAGGTCAGCAGAAACTTGTTTTCTTCTTCCCATCATTGCCTAGATGATAAACTATTGTAATGCGAATCTGAAATATTCTCTTGCTAGATTTTTTCAGTGGTACCTATCAATAAATAAGAAATATTGTTTTGTTCTTTCATTATCTTGTAATTTTATTTTTGTCCATCTCTTTATACTTTTTCCATGTATACATTATTTTATGCTTTTAACTTATCTTATTATGTACGTCCATAAAATTAATCTTTAATTTTGACTTTGTAGTTTGGTTCATATTCAGAAATTGTCAGAATTAGAATTCACTTCATGTGAATTGAGTAAATAAAGATAAAATATGACTAAGTAGGGATGGCTAAATACTGTAAAGTACTGACATGAATAATCATTATAGGTTCATTCACATTCAATGCTGTACTAAGTACCCAATAGGACTATCGGGATAATTAACTTGATAAATGGATTTAAAAGTTTTATTTGGAATAAATAATGAGCTTAGTAGTACAAAAAAAACATGAAAACAGAAACAAGGAGTTTATGAAAGACTAGACCATCTAGCTAATTAATGGGATAGAATAAATCATTCAGAAACAAGCCTTAGAATGTGTGATAACTTAGTGTGTGATAAAGGAGGCACTTTTTATTAGTAGAGAAATATATAATTATAATTGGTCAATAAATGAAAATGAGACTATCAGAAAGCTATGTGAGGAGAAAAGTCCTTCCTTCCTTCCTTTCTTTCATTTATTTTTTACTAGAGGCCCGGTGCACGAAATTTGTGCACGGGGGTGGGGGTGGGGTTAGGGAGTGGTCATGTACCTCAGCCCAGTCTGCACCCTCTCCAATCTGGAACCCCTCAAGGGATATCCAACTGCCCTTTTAGGCCCAATTCCAGTGGGATCAGGCCTAAAAGGGCAGTCAGACATCCCTCTCACAATTCAGGACTGCTGGTTCCCAACTGCTCGCCTGCCTGCCTTCCTGATTGCCCCTAACTGCTTCTGCCTGCCAGCCTGCTCACCCCCCAATCACTCCCATGCCAGCCTGATTGATGTCTAACTGCTCCCCTGCCAGCCTGTTTGCTCCCAACTTTCCTCCTCTGCCAGCCTGGTCACCCCTAACTGTCCTCCCTACAGGGTTGATCACCCGCAACTACCCTCCCTTGCAGGCCTGGTCCCTCCCAACTGCCCTCCCCTGTTGGCCATTGTGTGGTGGCCACCTTGTGTCCACATGGGGGCAGCAATCTTGTGTGTTGGAGTGATGGTCAATCTGCATATTACTCTTTTGTTATATAGGATAGAGGGCTGGTGCACAGGTGGGGGCCAGCTGGTTTGCCCTGTAGGGTATCCAGAACAGGGTGGGAGTTCCCTTGGGGAATGGGGTGGCCTGAGCAAAGAGCCTATTGTAGTTTGCAGGCCAGCCAGGCCCACTGATGACCCAAGCAGAGGCCCAGGTATCTGGAATTTATTTACCTTCTACAATTAAAACTTTGTAGCTTGGAGCGGAGCCAAGCCTTCTGCTTGCTCTGTGGCTGCCACCATTTCTGTTTGGATTTGTTTACCTTCTATAATTGAAACTTTGTAGCTTTGAGTGGAGGCTTAGGTGGCTAGGGCAGGCGGATAGCTTGGCTTCTTCCATTGCCTGGGAAACCCAAGCCTTCCTCCTGCTCTCTGTGGCCGCAGCCATTTTGGTTGGGGTTAATTTGCAAACTCACTCTGATTGGCTGGTGGGTGTGGCTGGTGGGCATGGCCTGTGGGTGTAGTGGAGATATGGTCAATTTGCATATTACTCTTTTATTAGGTACGATTGTTGACTTTACAGATGTACCCTATTCCCTCTTCTCTCCCCCAGGAAAGTCTATTTCAATACTCACTTATCACTCAACAGACAACAAAATAATTTGAGATAGAATTAAATGTAAAAACCTGAATCAGGCCTTTTCTTTTTCTATAGTCAAGATTTTATCACCACAAAGATCTCTCTAATGCTATCCCTTTATAGTCACACCCTTCTCCCTTGCTCTATCATTCATAAACCTGGAAATCACTATTTTTTTTCATTTCTGAAATATTGTCATTTCAAAAACGCTATATAAAAGGAATTATATAGTATGACCCTTTGAAATTGGCTTTAATTTCACTTAGCAAATGTTTTTGAGATCTCCCCAAGTTGTGTATATCAGTAGTTTGCTCCTTTTTATTGCTGAGTAGTATTTCATGATATGAATGTACATACCAGTTAGTTTAATCATTCACCTATTGATCAACATTTCAGTTGTTTCGATGCTTAGAAAACAGCATGTTTTTTTCTACCTTCCTGTGGGTTACTTGAACTTTGCAACTCCATTTTATCTGGTGTTTTTGAGTGCACTTCTTTGTGTAATATTTTAGTGTTTTTAAAAACATTGTGCAAAATGGGTACATATTTCAGAAGAGAAATATAACATTTATAAAGAACAAAAGAAAAAAATAGAGTTGTAAATGTCATAAATTTATTCAACATACAAATTTTATCTATTTCCAATTTCTATTCCTTCTTTCTCCCATTATCTTTTCTCCTGATAAGTCTTTGTTCTTCGTTTTTGGAGAATTTCATTTGATAAAACCCGTACGTTTCCATCTTCAAGCATTTCTATGTTCAGATTCTACACAGTAAAAGAAAGGTAGAAATATTAGGGAAATTCTGTGTTCTACTGAAGGAATATTTTTATTTTATTGTTTATAAAGAACAAATATTTAAACTTAATATATTTTAATTATTTTTTCTGTGATAGAGCTGTTTTGGTTTTTTCTTTTTATATTTTAAAGTGGAGAATTGAAGGTCTCCCAGCAGGTGTTCTACTGTCAAAGATGAACCCTGTAAACTTCTAGAGGAAGGTCTTGTAGATTGCATCTCTCACGTTGTGCTGTATGGACAGATACAGTGAAGAGTTTCCTAGTGTAAGTTTAGAAACACTTAGGAAGGTCACAGGTGATAAATGTATTACCATTAGGTATGGAACCTAAAGTAAATATTAGATCACTTGTTTTTTATATGCATCTTCATCTTCAGACAAGTTATTCCAGACACCAGTAATTATACTTCACTTGCATTTTTTCTACTGAGAAATTCTATAATACATTTGGAATACTTTAATTTGTAAATGATGCCCCAGAGAGTTTCACAGTTTGATAAAGAGATATTCAAGAATCAGCACTGTGCAGATAACAGATACTTATTTTCCTTATGTTGGACTAGATTTCCATTTCTACTTTACCAGCACTGCATGGAGCACTGTACTCTTCAATGGTGAACTCCTCTGAAACACAAACATGAGACAGGAAGAGTGAAGACATTCAGCAACAGGCAGTGAGTAGAGAATTGTAAACAAACTGTATAATGTAAGCTAAGAAAGAAAGTATAAAAACAAGTATGGAGCCAATAAAATGACTTCCTTCTGTACTAAGCCATTTGGGACTGGGGTGGAAGGGTGGGGGAGGGAACCTGAGGCTTGGATACAGAATGTAGGGGCAGGTTTCACAGATGGAAGACAGTTTCTATCTCCACAGAGCACTGCACAGCCCCTTGCACAGCTGTGTCTTTCTCACTGGAGTTGTTCCTTCCTCGCTGAACGGTCCCTTAAACTAAGAAGGAGTGAAGTTTTTCTTTCTTTCTTTCTTTTTTTTTGTTTGCCAGAGGATATTTTTTTTTCACTGATTTTATTTATTTAATTTTATTTTATTTTATTATTTTATTTTTAGAGAGAGTAGAAAAGAGGAGGAGAGACACAGAGAAAGAAACATTGATTGGTTGCCTCCCACAGGCACCACAACCAGATCAGGGCTGGGGATTAAGCCTGTAATGGAGGTACATGCTCTTGACTGGCATCGAGATCAATTTATAAGAATGGTTCTAACCGAAACCGGTTTGGCTCAATAGATAGAGCATCAGCCTATGGAATGAAGGGTCTTGGGTTCGATTCCGGTAAAGGGCATGTACCTTGGTTGTGGGCACATCCCCAGTAGGGGGTGTGCAAGAGGCAGCTGATCAATGACTCTCATCGATGTTTCTAAATCTCTATCCCTCTCTCTTCCTCTCTATGAAAAAAAAAATATATATATATATATGTATTTTAAAAAAAAAGAATGGTTCTAAGACTTGTTTAGGATTCAGGTGAGAGGTACAGGAGCATGATTATCTGGTGGTCATAAACTCACTTTTTCTTCCAGTAACACATTGTGGAGTTTCCTAGGTTAGTCTTTCCTAGGTTAGTCTTTCTTTCCCCCCAAAGTTCAGCATGTCTGAATCCCACTCACCTGTCTCATAATAATCATAGGCTTTTACTGAAGCTGGTTTTAAATTATCTACTTGGATGTCTTGTTCCACCAAGAAGGAGAAACTCAAGGCTTGTTTGGTTAGCTGGAGAGACAGAAAAACTGAATTAAAATGGAAGATTAACTTAGTTACTAATCATCATCCTCTCTTCTTAAGATAGTCTGCTATCCATTTGTAACAAAACTCACAGAAAGAATGAGACATTTGGGGACTTGTGTGAAATACTCCGTGACATAAAAGAGGCAATTCTATGGACAGTCAAATAATATAAACGGAGCATTGCTGACCAGTCCTGGATTCATCGTCTTATGTAGTTATTTCCTTCTCCCTCACCTGTGTATGGGAAAAGCACTAGCTGGAATCTGTACTGGTTTGTGAGGACCCCTGGCACTTCTCCCAGATCTAGCAGAGTCACAGACAATCTTACCTCCTCGAAGTAAATCAGGACATGGTTCGTGCTCACTTCAGTCCTTTGAATCTGAGGCCTTTCTTGGAGCTGTTGACCAGGAGGATAAGACAGAGATATGGGATGAAGAAATTTCAGGCTGAAAGCAGTTTTCAGATATTTATAATCTAAAGGGTTACTCAGAAACATCCAACTGATCATTTTGAATTCTTCAGAATATCTCTCTATATAAAAATCCAATGACCGGTTGCTATGACACCCACGGGGACCAGCAAACTGGCCAACCTACTGAAGCCCCTCCTCCTGGGTGACCTAGCCCCTGGTTGCCTCCTCCTATCCCAATAGGGGGTGGGACGGGCCAGCCACCACCCACAGCCCCTCCCCACAACCAGCCCTTCCTCACAGCCAGCCCCTCCCCCAATCAGCCCCCATCACCCCAATCGGCCCTCTGCCACTCCCCTTGGCTTTCCCCACCTCCTATTGCCTTCCCACCCCATTCGGGAGAGGAGCTTTCTGGCCAATCGCCTGAGGCCGCTTCCCCCAGCTGGCTTGGCCCTGATTAGGCCTGGATCAGGGTGGGTTGGCCAGCAAACTTCCTGCCGTCTCTTCATCCCAACAGGCCTGGTCCCAATCTTTCCCAATCTTCTGGCTGGCTCGACCCCACCCATGCACGAATTCATGCACTGGGCCTCTAGTATACTATTTCACATATATCACATATTCAAGGTGGGCAAATGTAGGTTTACAGTTGTTCATATGGAAAATAATACAATAATTAATAAATAATGCAAGGATAAACTCTATTTTGTGTACTTATAATTGTAAGCCTACTTTTGCCAGACTCTATATTCATATATATATATATATATATATATATATATATATATGATGTAGGGTGTCCTCAAAAATGTATGCACACACTTTGAATAATTATAAAGGCAGTGTTTATTAAAATACATTTCATTTTCAAAATTTAGCTATCAGCTGTTAAAGTGTGTATACATTTTTTTTGGACATCCTGTATATCCTTCCTTTTTCTTTTTAGGTATAATTGGAAGATAATTCAATACCATTCCATGTCTCCCTAGATGTCTCAGGGCTCGTTGGAACATTATTAACCATAGTATTTATTAAACATGCCTTTACTTGAGACCAAACAATAATGATACCCACTATTCAAATGATGGAAACACTAGAGAAGCAAGTTTGAGGGAGTAAACTTCTTGAAAACGGAATCAATAAAAGAAAATTGACAAGTGTAAAGGCAACGTTTATCATGTCTCTGCTATCTGTAAGGGACTTAGGGTTTACCTTTTTCACTGATGGTTTCACAGGAATGAAGCCGGACACCATCTTTACATCAACAATGACCATGTTGGAGCTGGGTCGTTCTCCAGTATAACTATGAAGTCAAGTCAAAGGGACAAGACATTCAAACAAATTCTTTGGAATTGATTCATGATAGAAATCTTCCCTTCTCCTGCCCTGGCTGGTGTGGCTCAATTGGTTGGAGCATTGTACTATACTGAAAGGTCTCGGGTTCGAACTCCTGGTCAAGACACATAGCTAGGATGTCAATCTTTGGTTGGGGCACGTATGGGAGGCAACTGATCAATATATCTCTCTCACATCAATGTTTCTCTCTCTCTCTACCTCTCTAAAATTAATGGACACATTCGGTAAGGATAAGAGAGAAAGAGAGAGAGAGAGAGAGAGAGAGAGAGAGAGAGAGAGAGAGAGAGAGAGAGAGAGTAGGAAAGGAAAGCGAAGGGAGGGAAGGAAGGAAGGAAGGAAGGAAGGAAGGAAGGAAGGAAGGAAGGAAGGAAGGAAGGAAGGAAGGAAGGAAAAAAGGAAGGAGTCTTCCCTTCTCTTTTATTTCTAGTGTTCCCTATTTTTGTCAACCATTATGCTGGCCCATCTACTCTATTTGCTTCTGTTATGGTTGTTTGGAAAACCTATCTTTATGAAATTGCACTCTGCAGATTTGGCAACATTATATACTCAATGTTTAATACTTTTCAGTAAGAGTGAAGAATACTTTCTTGTTAATAAATATTGCAAGAATTCCGCCTTCATTATGTGTGACTTGGGTAATGGCATTCCTCCACCCAAGAAAATCCATTTTGCCATATTCTACAAAAAATGTGGTAGTGATTTAGGATTTACCTAATGTTGATGTGAATCTGGAATTTCCTGTGAGCAGCTGCTCCATTACAATTCTTGGGAAGAGTAGTAACCTTCAGAGAGAAGGGAACTTTCCCTTCTTTCTCAGGCAGGATGTTATATCTCAGAAATGTCTAAAACAAGTAGGAAAAAAATCCTTTAATTTTTCACTCAAGTAGTCTGTCTCTTCTAGGTGATTCATACCTCCTCTTAGCACACATTTCTTTTTCCATTTTGAAATTCAAATATAATTATTGAGACTTTTATCCCCATGTGTAGCATCCCCCAAACCCTGGCAGTCTCACCTGGAGGTACACACATCCTGACCCTGACACTGTGGTGCTGTACTCCCCTGGAATCTCCGGCAATGCAACCTCCTGCAGCAATAGGCAATTGGCGTCGTCCACTTGAAATTCTTCTGAGAAGGCCTGTGAAGACCTGACGGTGACTGTGACTGTTTTCTCCCTTTTAGAGAAAGTTGCTGCTCCATATTTGGAGAGGGCTTGGAGAGCTACCACTGTATCCTGAAAAAGATGGGTGCAGAGATCACAGGAGAGAAAGGTAATCAAATCATACTAGATGTAAACCATACCAGCATTTCTCTCTCTCAGAGTTATATATTTACCGTATTTTTCAGCATATAAGACGACTTTTGAAACGAAAAAGTCAACCGAAAATCGGGGGTCATCTTATACACCGAGTATATCCCGAAAAACATCTCGATATGCCGCTAAACAAATTTTCCAACTCGATCCCGCACCAATCACTGCAAGGCTGCTCGTTCCGCCTCTCTAACTCAGCCAATCCAAGCAGGCTTTTTATGCATGCAAATTATACATGTTCTGTACCCAAAGCTACACTGTGTTCTAGTAAAAAGCCTGCTCAGATTGGCCAGAGTCAGAGAGGCGGTCATTTAAAAAAGGAACTGGTGTTGCCTCAGAAGTGGGTGGTAGTCTTATACAGCAAATATAGGCCTAAACCTATGTTTTAACTGTAAAATTAGGGGGTTGTCTTATACACCGGAAAATACGGTATAAACACAGTTCCTTAACTGAATTTCAATTCAGCTCAGGCATGGTTGGTTATTAATCATGAGCTATTATAGATACTTTGGGGGAAATGAAGATGTTTCCTCATTCAAGTGGCTTACAATATTACACATGGAAAGAAGACTTCAATATTTGACATAAAGCAAAGGCTATTTCAAAAATTTATAAATTTATATAAAAACAAATAGCCCTGCACATGAATCTGTGCACCAGTAGCTCTCTGCCACCCTCCTGTAGCTCTCTGCCTGCTGCCCCTCCCTGTAGTCCCCCCATTCCCCCTCTTCCCCCCCCCCCCCCCCCCCCCGCTATGATCCCCTCCTCCCTCCTCCCCAATACCTTGCTGCCCCGCCCCCTCCTGTAGCTTTTCACTGCCACTTGGAGTTTGCTGCCCCACCCTCCCTCCTGCAGATCCGTGATCTGGTCCTTATGAGGTTGGTTGTTACACCTCAAGGTATAATGGCTAATTAGCATATTCCTCTCTTATTATATAGGACATTTGTTGTAAAAAAGTCAGAGAAGGTTGAAGAAATTAGAGCTAAAATAGTAGAGAAGAAGGTGAGAAATATAGTTATCTCAGAATAATGAGAAAAGTTTATACAGACAGAAGAGAGGCATCAGGGAGTATCAGGTGTAGGGAAATGTTGCAACTGATGACACAGAAAAGGCAGTGAGCCAATGTCAGAAAAAGTGAAGGGATCAGTCGAACTAGATGGAAATATTCATGGTTTACTGGGGAGAGGAAATGTTTTGGGTAAAATATCACATAATTTTAGTCTTTGGATGAAAAAAATATTTATGTTATCAGGAAAGTAATCTTATAAAGACACTGCTTTAGGAAGGTTATCTACTTTACAGGAGGAAAGATCTGGGACTTTGAACAGAGCAATAATCCACATATGAAATAATGGAACTTTTGTGATGATGGGGGAAGGAAGGAAGTGCGGATTAGAAACACTGTTCAACGATTCCACTCAATAGAATATGATTGCGTCTTCCTCTGTATTTGTATGTTTATTTTTCTTCCTTGAGTTTCTCCACTGACCTGAGTGGAGGAGAAGCCCCCTGTGGGGTTTTGTTGCTTGGTGATCCACTTCACAATATGTGAAGCTACAGACAGGTCTTCGGAAGATGGGGCAGGCTGGGCGGTGAGATAGGCAAGGAGCAAGTAGGATGTCATCTCCACTTCAGCAGAAGGAGCCCGGGGCTGGTAAGAGAATGCCTCAGCTTCTTGAAGTTTCCCAGGACGTTGCCAGTGGATCGAGTCCCCTTTGAAATGGAAAAAGACACACTGGTAAGCTCAGAGAATGGTTTCAAAACCAGATTCACGACATCATTACGAGGAGAGAGCTCTTGAATTGACATAAGTGAAGTCAAAGTATTAAGTAATCAACAACCCCGCAAATCTTTGCCAAGAAAGTAAAGAAAGGTTCCTATGTGTCTTTCTGTTTATTACATACTTGTACGATATTAGAAGATGGGCTGTATAGCGTTAATGATATGTGAATTGGTTAAATAATTCATGCTACCTAGAGAATTTGTTTTTGGTTAATGATAATTATTCTTTTAAAAAAATATTTTATTGATTTTTTTACAGAGAGGAAGGGAGAAGGATAGAGAGTTAGAAACATCGATGAGAGAGAGATATCGATCAGCTGCTTCCTGCACCTCCTCCCCTCCCCCCCCAACTGGGGATGTGTCCACAACCAAGGTACATGCCCTTGACTGATATCAAACCCGGGACCTTTCAGTTCGCAGGTCGACGCTCTATCTACTGAGCCAAACTGGTTTTTGTCAATAATTGTTCTTATTATCAACATAACATAACGTAACATAACATAACATAAAACATAACATAACATGTATAATGTGGCAGGATAGGTATGAGTTCATTCGGTCCTCTTCCTTCTTCACTGGTGATTTTTGGAAGTAAATTTTGCAGAAGCAGTGCTTACCTTCTTTCACAGCCTCTTTGTCCAGCGATTGAAGCAGCTCCCTTCGCTTGGCCTGGTTTCCTGCTAGGGCAAAGGCATAGGCCAATAATGCCTTGGTATAGACGAGACTTCCCTGGGCTTCCGAAGTGGATTCCCATGCCCTTTCCAAGCAGAATAGAGCATTGCGGACCACTGGGTGCTATAAAGAAGAAGAAAGGGGATCTTCACACATTGCGGACAGATCAGGAGAATTCTTGTGTTTTCGGTTCTGTGGCGTGTGGCCAATCACTTATCTGGCCCACTGGGCAAAGCTAGCGATAAAACTACCGGTCCACAACATGTTAAGATATCAGGACCAGGTTAATGCACTGTCCCCGGGCTAATTCCCGATTAAACGCCCCAAGGTGCCTGTACAACCTCATAGATCAGCCAGAGGATAATTTCCTCTACGGCTTCCAAAAGGATACAGTCCTTTAAGTTCCAGAAAAACAGACCAAATTTAAATAACACAAAAAACTACAACTCATTTCTTCAGAGGTACAGGGAATGTGCTAGTACATACAGTAACAGGCAGGGGCATCTCCAGCAGAGCGATGGTGATGTAGGCGGAGAGCGTCACCTCATCATCTACTCCACCCTGTAAGGATCAGAGGCAGAGAGACTAAAACACTCCAGTATTCATCAGCCAGAGTTGGCGAAGCCTACATTTTCCTGTGGGCATCTTAACTAAAAAGCATCTTTTCTTGAGTAATAATATTGATTTTCCTCTTTCTTCCTCTACTCTAAACTTCTTGAATCTGTCCCAAATCTCTTTCCCTCACTTTTAGTAATATATTGGTTTTGTTTTTATTTTGCACACTATTTTCATTCAATAAAAAACTGCTCATTAGTTGCTAGATAGCAAAAGCTTTAGAGTCTACCATCCTCCCTCAAAGCTAGGTCTTGAGGAAATCAATAGGAGCATCATTGTTCTGACATCTCACTGTCTTTAGGAATCAGAAAAAAATGTTAAAGATATCACCTTCATAGCATTGTTTAGCAGTGATCCAGAGCGCTGGAAACAGCCATTTTCCCTTTGCTTCTGTGAGAGCCAGGTGAGGGAATTTGTGATGTGTGAGTCCTCCACAAAGATGTGTGACCGGGCTTGAGAAAAGGCCTTCAGCACAAATGCAGTGAGCCTGTCCAGCAAAGAAGAAACCGAGACACGAGGACAAGCTCACTGTGTGCTCTGCCTCCAGACACTGAGGTTCATAATTCAGTGAAGGAAATTACTGGGGGAATCGGTGGGGAAATGATACTAGAATATTGAATATTCTCTTCTTTGTCCAACAAGTATCCGAGTCTCTTCTGTAATTCTGTCAATTTTATTGGTTTCTCCAGTTTATACTTTTCATTTTTTCCCCTCACAAAGTGTTTGTTGCAGCCTTCAAGACTTCCCACTACCCAAAAGTCCATTTTATTTTTTAAAAATACATTTTTTTAAAAATTGATTTCAGAGAGGAAGAGGGGGAGAGAGGTAGAAACATCAATGATGAAAGAGAATCATTAATTGGCTGCCTCCTGCACACCCCACACTGGGGATAGAGACCACGACCTGGACATGCGCCCTGATTGGGAATCGAACTGTGACCTCCTGGTTCATTGATTGGCGCCCAACCATTGAGCAACACTGGCTTGGCAGAAAACTTCCGTTTTCTGAATACCCTTTCTACATCACAATCACCTTCTGTGCTTTCCAAGCTCTATTTTGTTATTGTATGAGGTAGAAGCTTCTTCCTTGATCATTTTCACATTATGACACTTTCTGCCTTATATTTCCATTTTGGGGGAACATTTCCTTGTTTTATTGATCTCTACAGTGCTATCAGAGCAGGTAAGCTTTCACAGATGAATGTTGAGATCACCCAGTGTGATGACACCCATATGGGTTTTTAAAGCATAACAGATTTCCACAAAAGAACTCCAAGTATCAGAGAATATTATTTCCATAATTCTGAAATATTATGGTCTACAAAGAGCATTTGGAAATAATCATCTTACCAAGTGTTTCCTTGGCTTGTACCACCATGCTCCCCAAAGGTACTGTATGAACCATCGTTGTGCTTATAATTCAACTGTCGTTGGTACCCTGAAGAAGAAGTTTGCATAGACTTATGAAATAGCAGAAACATTGGAGAACTAGTCAGTCTTTTCCTCAAAACTCATTGAGCAGTCATAGAAAAAGTACTATTTTATTAAGATACTAGAGGCCTGGTGCATGACATTTGTGCACTGAGGGAGGGGGCCCTCAGCCTGGCCTGCGCCCTTGGCAGTCCGGGAGCCCTCGGGGGGGGGGGGGATGTGCAGTCAGACATCCTTAGCACTGCCACAGTGGTAGGAGAGGCCCCCACCACTGCCACTGCACTCACTGAGAGGTGCTCCCCCTGTGGGAGTGCACTGACTACCAGAGGGCAGCTCCTGCATTGAGCATCTGCCCCCTGGTGGTCAGTGTACATCACAGTGACTAGTCATTCCCCACTTTGGTCGACTTGCATTTTAGCCTTTTATTATATAGGATCTCCAAGACTTGATGATGCTATTGAGTTTTCTGATTGTATAGTGGGGCATTTTTTTTGGATATCACAGCAGAAATAATTATTAAATTTTAACCAAAAGGATGCTGATTTGAATTCACTGAAGGATATATTTAGGGACTCAATTAAAGTTTCTCCTATGGGGGATAATCTTTTACCACTGATGAGATGGTTGATGGCTTTAGATTTGATATTTTCTGTCAGCTGTCGTGTCTCATTCAGATAGTTCAAAACATAGATGTTAGGGACAAACAGCACCATATTCTGCTCTCCACAACCATAAGGCATCCGGAGAAGATTCTGCAGATTTTGCATGGCAGAGCTTAGTATATCACCTGGGGAATGAAAGGTATAGAAAAGTCAGAAGAACTTGAAGTTGATTTAAGTTGGGATAGGAAGACAGAAACTAGCTAAGTGAGAGGTCAACTCACTTACAGAGGTGAGGACAAGAAAGCATAAGAGATGCAAAAATAGAAAGAAAAGAGAAAAGTAGGAAAAGTAAAGTAAATGGTTAAAGGATGGGGAAAAAAACACAAGGAAAAAACTGAATGGCAGGTCTGATAAAAACCAACTATATTCAAATATATTAGGAAGCATCACTACCTAGTCAATCCTTTAAAGATGAGGATAGAGAGAGGACCCTTATTACTTTCTAGAGTATATCCAAGTATATCATAACATCTATTCAAACCTTTCCTGATGAATATACTATGCAATCCTTAGCTTAGTGCTCTTTCTCTCACTCCAGGGCTAGAGTCAGTGATCTCATTCACCATGGATGGTGAGGCCCCAGGCATTGGGATTGTAGTGGTAGACATCTGCTTCCTTTGGGCTGGGAGACTCACCCAAAACTGAATACGTTGCTCTGGCAGAGCCTTCAACCACGTTTGAAGGAACTTTTAGTGACAACTTTTCAGGTACTTCAGTTTCTAATGAAAAAAGACAAATACATACACTGAGTGGCCAGATTATTATGATCTCTGAACGCATAATAATCTGGCTACTAAATATATATATATATATATATATATATATATATATATATATATATATAGATAGATAGATATATAGATATATAGATATATAGATATATAGATATAGATATTAGAGGCCTGGTGCATGCATTTGTGCATGGGTGGGGTCTGGCCAGCCTGGCCAGGGAGAGGGGACATGGGTGGTTGGCCAGCCTACCTGCTGGTAGAACTCCTGGTTGAGAGGACAATTTGCATATTATTATAGCTTTTTATTATATAGGATATACACTGAGTGGCCAGATTATTATGCGTTCAGAGATCATAACAATCTGGCCACTCTGTGTATAAGAGAAGTGGGGGGCAGGGGGGTGGGGAGAGGGAAAAGAGAAATGTCCTATTTTTGTTTGAATATATTTTTCTCTATGTGATGAAAATCCAACTTCTCATTTCTCTTGGTTCTTATGTAATTTTCTCCATGCAATTCAAGTTTCTCCTAAAGCAATGATTCATTTCACAGTATAGTTCCTATTAATTATATCTATTGGTGTTAAATTTCTATAGATTTTCTATGTGTATACCTTATGATATACTTATTTCCTTCTCTTCATTATTTATGCTAATTTCTAATATCATTAGATTTTTAAAAAATCACATTTATTCTATAAATATATATAAAGTGTGTGCTTGCCGGGACCAGTTTGGCTCAATGGATAGAGCATCGGCTTGGGGACTAAAGGGTCCCGGGTTCGATTCTGGTCAAGGGCATGTACCTTGGTTGCGGGCATATCTCCGGTAGGGGATGTGCAAGAGGCGGCTGATCGATGACTCTCTTTCATCGATGTTTCTAACTCTCTATCTCTCTCCCTTCCTCTCTGTACAAAATCAATAAAATATATTTAAAAAAAAAAAAAAAAAAAAATAAAGTGTGTGCTATGTAGAGGTTCTGTTTTAAATGCAATGATATAGTAATTTTCAAAACAGATTTCCTGGCTTCTTGGAATTTTCATTTTTATGAGAGTAATAAAATAACAAATCAATATTTAGAATAATAGATGTTAAGTTTTATAGAGAAAATTAAAGCAGAGTGAGTGTTTAAATGGGTAAACTAATAAGAAAAGGCCAGTTAGGAAGTCCTGGCTGGGGGGGTGGAGGCTCTCCACTAAAAGCTCATTGATAAAACAATCATAGGTGACTTGAGACTAAGTAAGTCAGAGAGTAAGACTGATAGATATCTGCGGAAGAGACTTCTAGGAAAAAGGAACAAAAAAGTGAAAAGACTCCAGAGATTAGAGCATGCTGAATGTGCTCCTAGAGCAGATTATCCCTAAAGTTCTTAGAATAATTGTTTAAATTAAAAAAAACATGAATACACTTAAGCTATTAGTTGAATAATAAATAGTATTGATGCCACAGGGATATTTCAGAATTTTGAAAAAGGAGAGAAGTTTGAGAAACAGTTTTGTATGGAAGGAATCCTTTCCCACAATCATCAGCTTTTGTCTTTATTATTAGCCAACACATTTTAGGTCTTTTAACTTGTTTACACCTTCAGTAGGAAAAGGCTTTTCTTTATCAAATATCCTTAGGTTTGTACATGGGAACGTACACAATTTTTTTTTTCCTCCTAGAAGACAACATGCCTCAAGGGTCATTTTGCAACCACATACTTTGGCATGTGGCGAAACATGAGAATTTTGTTTATGTTTGATACTTACCTGGTGCACAGAGGAGTGTGTTGAAAGTTTCCTCCTTTTCTATTCCTTCAGGCTTTACATTGAAAGAAAGTAAAACATAAAGTGACACTGAATGTAGAAGAGAAAAATCAGTCGCTCTTATGTAGAGTAAAAAATTGAGTTGTGGATACATCCATATTTGGGGAATTAAATGTCACCATCACATATACTATATTAGATAATAAGGTCTCTGAGAAAGTATACCTGCATACCTCAACCAATAAGGACTTGATTACAGTATCCTTCTGTCCAAACATTGGGACTTTAGGCACCTCGTTGCCGCACAATTCCTGAGACTGTAGGGCTTCTGCAGTCGCTGTGAAATTCACCTTCCCTGAGGAATAAGATGCTTAAGGAGTTAATACAGCGATTCTATATTGAATGGGCTTTTTCTTCTCTTTTTTCCATATATGTAATCGTTTTCTTTCAATCAATCATTGTTAGAGGAGAAACACACACACACTTATTTGGGTCAGAGAGGAAAGCAAATCATTACCACTCACCCAGTGACTTGAGGGTCACAGCCCAGGACACAGTTTTCCGCCCATTTCCACAGATGCAGTGAGATTCTTCATTCTTCTCTACTGGGACAGCCGAGAAGGCGGGAGAGTCCTCCAGCTCCATGCTCACCTGTTCCCCATACCCACCCACAAGTTTGAGAAAGAACACAGGCAGAGGGTCAGTAACAGGAGACTGGAGCTCAAAGGGACAATGCCCACTAATTGAGAGGCTTTGAGAAATTGTTCAAACAGGGGACATCCTGTCAAACACTTCGTAGTTTAAATGCTTGCAATAAAGGAATTGGGACACTGACGTACATTAGGATACAGGCCCACACAAGGAAGAAATAGTTTCCTTAGAGTGAAAAAAAAAATGAAGTAGTCCGATGGAAATGGTAGTTGACATTTAGACTACACAGATAATATAGAGACCCAAATGAACACAACCTTACCGCCTTGGAGCTGTCAGGTAGTTTTTGCTCTTGGTACCCATTCCATTCCAAAATTAAGTTGCATCATAGGCAATTAAGATTTATAAGAATTCCTAGGACACCTAGGTAGTGCATGGTGACTGTGTCCCTTCCTTCTGCTGTCGCTCACCTGTAAGGAAGTGCCCTTACCCGAATGCAGTGGGACAAATAGTTGAACACAGTGGCTTTGAGTGTGAAGGCTTCTCCTCGCACCACGGAGTAAGGGAGAGTGAGTTCTAGGAAGAAGGGCTGGAAGACTTGAAGAGAGATGATAGGGGAGAGGCCAAGTCCTGTTGTTCCAGACAAGCAGAGCGCGCTGGCCTTCCAGTTGGTGATTGTATCAGGGACCTTGGCTGCCAACTCACTGCTACCTGATGAACTAATGAAAAGAAAAAGAGGAAGAAAGTGAGTGAGTCACCTCCTCCTTATCTCCCCCCTCGCTTTTTCTTTTGGCATAGATCACAGTTGATCCTACACCATGGTAACTTAGCAGCCTAGTGTGGCAAATGTTAAACTTCATATAAAGTTTGTCACTATTAATGAAATCGCTGAAAGTTTTTCTTTTCTTTTAGGAGAGAGACTCGCTTCCTGTTTTCTATTATTTTAAGTCCCTCAAGACTAAATTAGGAGGGAAAAAAAGTTGCATTGCTTCACTGTAAAATCAATTTACTCTGAATCTAAATATCTACCAGAAAGGAGTGGAACAGAATTGAAAGGATCAGGATCACAGGATAACAGCAGAATCATAGAGGAGAATCCAAATCTCCTAAACCAAGTTCCAAGTAACACAAGCGCTTACTCGAGTAGCACCAAGTCCCAGATCCAGGTCTCAGGGAAGTAGTTCCGGACTGTCTCTTTCACTCCCTCAGCTGGAAGGTCTTCTCTCACCGTTGGGCGATGACGTGGAGATGTAAATACTACAGGTGACTCTAGAAAATCCTCTATGAGAAAATCCTCTATGAGAAGCCTAATGTGAACCTTATTTTTATCATTAACTTTTTATAGTTGCTTTATTTATCCAGAAAAATAAGATCAGTTGCTCAGTGAATGTTTATTATTGGAACAATTAAACATACCAGCTCGTTACTTATATAGAAAGGCAATTTTTTTTTACTTCTTCAATCTAGAGGTAAAAACATTTTTCTCTAGAAATGAAAACAAATGTAGCTCTTCTTTGGCTGATTATTCAAGTGGTGGAGAGAAGAACAGAGAGTCATTTAATACACAAAGTAGTGCTTTTATACTGAAGTGGTGATCACGTGTTTCCCTTTTGTAGTGAGACTCAAACTAGAGATATGGATGGTAGCTACTCCAAGAGGATTTTAGGATGATTTTTTACTTAACAGTGACTGAGATATGGAGAAATTAAAATTACATATGTTCCCTTTTCCTCCCTAGAAACCCTCTCAAGCCCATTCCTGCCCTTAACCCCACTCCCTCACTGTCCCATTGTCAGTGTCCATGGCCATGCATATATGCATACAAGGTCCTTGATTGATTACCTTCCACCCACCCTCCCCTGCCTTCCCTCTGATATTCCACATTCTGTCCACGCTTCCATGTCTCTGGATCCACTCTGTTCGTCACTTTATTTTGTTAGATTCCACATATGACTGAGATCATATGATACTTGTCTTTTTCTGACTGACTTATTTCACTTAGCCTGATACTCTCCAGGTCCCTCTATGCTGTCTCAAAGGGTAGATATTCTTCTGTTTTTTTTTTTGTTTGTTTGTTTGTTTTTCTTTTATTCTTGCATAGCATTCCACACTACAAATATACCACAGCTTCTTTATCCACTCATCTACTGATGGGCACTTCTGCTGTTTCCGGATCTTAGCTGTTATAAATTGTACGGCTATGAACATAAGGGTGCATGCATTCTTTCTGATTGGTGTTTTGGGTTTCTTAGGAGAAATAAGCAATGTTTAAAGATGATATGCCTTTCATAGTAGTTGGGACAGATTGAGGTGAAGCAAGACTGGAGGTAAGGAAGGTAAATCAGTGTGGCTTTTAAGTAATAATTTGGTTATGAAATAACAAGGGACAGGACTAAGGTAGTGTAACTAAAATTTAAATAATGAATAAGTGACAAGTACTAAATGCAAAATTTGGAGAGAGAGAAAGAGACAGGGGAGAGAGAGAGAGAGAGGGAGAGAGAGAGAGAAACAATTGCTTTACAAATCCTATATGTTGGGAAAAAATGTTAATTAAAGAAAATTTACCAAGAAGTTGCTGCAGTCACAACATTTGATACTTAGTAAAATAGCTTTTTATCCCAACCCAATCCAGCAAAGCATCACTTTTCTTTTTTGTTATTCTATTATTTTATGTTATCCTAGCAGAGAAATCTCACCTGAAGCAAATCCACCGCCCAAATGTAATTCTGGATAATCCTGAAGCAGCCGACAGAAATGTGGCTTGTGGATTTTTGAGTTGGTAAAAATATTTAATCCTATAGACTAGGAGAAAATAAATTATTAGAGCATATTGGCAATCTAATATTGAGACTTTCACTATTATTATACACTAGAGGCCTGGTGCACAAAATTTGTGCACAAGGGTGGGGGGTCCTCTCAGTACAGCCTGCACCCTCTCACAATATGGGGCTGCTCACCTGCCTGCCTAACTGTAAACCCCAACTCTCCTCCCACCCCCCGTGAACCTGATCACCCTTAACTGCCCCTGCCTGCCAGCCTGATTGCCCCCAACTGCCCCCCTCTTCAGCCTAGTCATCCCTAATTGCCTCCCCACTGGCCTGGTCACCCCCAACTGCCCCCCCCCCCAGCCTGGTCACTCCTAACTGCCTCCCCCCATCCTGGTCAACCCTCATTGCCCCCCTCTGCCGGCCTAGTTGCCCCTCACTGCCTCCCCTGCTGGCCTTGTTGCCCCACCCAGCCTGCTGTTTGGTTGTTACTGTGAGGGTGTACAAACCAATTTGCATAATACCTTTATATTAATATAGATACAGATAATAGGATCGGAAAAATACCACACAATAGAGAAGAGAGCTATTTTATAAATATGAAAATGGAGTCACAGAAAGTATAGTTTATCCAGTTAGTGACAAGAAATTGGGATTAGAACCCACTTCTTCTGATTCTTATTTCTGAATTTTGTCTGCTGTATGCTGATGCCTTTTAAATTATTTTCTAATCCAGGAAACTAAGTATTTTAGCCTTGGATGTTCTCTTTCCTTCCTCCCCTCAGAAAACAAATATAACACACACACACACACACACACACACACACACACACACACACACACATATATATAACATATATATGTATATATATCTACACTAATAAAAGAAAAACATGAAAATTGACTGTCCCTCTGCTATACCCACCAGCCAATCAGAAGTGACTATGGAAATTAATCCAACAAAGATGGTGGTGGCCATGGAGTTAGAGCAAGCAGGAGGCTTGGGTTGCCCCCAGCGATGGAGGAAGCCAAGCTTCCTGCCTGCTCTGGCTGCTACTGAAGGAGACACTGGGAGAAAAAAAAAAGGAGGGGCTGGGACGCTCCATCACTGGGGGTGTTTGGCCAGCCTAAAAATGGCTCTGAGCCCCTTACCCAGGCTGGCATGCTGCCATGGAGTAAGAGTCCCCCCTGGGAGGTATAGCCATCCTGCAAACAGCCTTCAGCCCCTCACCCAGGCTGGCCATGCCCCCCCAGCAGGGACCCTCACCTCATGGGGACATGGCCAGCCTTCAAACTACTGCAGGCCCCTTGCCCAGGCTGCCCCACACCATAAGGGAACCCCCATCCTAATATGGGACACACTTCAGGGCAAACGAACTGGCCCCCAGCTGTGTACCAGGCCTTTGTCTATACTAATAAAAGGTTAATATGCTAATTAGACTGGGGACCTTCCAGGAGGCCTTCCAGATGTTCTTCTGGACAAAGCCACGGTGGCAAGGCCAAGGTGGGTAGAGGTCAAAAGGGAGGGCAGTCAAAACCAGTTTGGCTCAATGGATAGAGCGTCCGCCTGTGGACGGAAGGGTCCCAGGTTCGATTCCGGTCAAGGGCATGTACATTGGTTGTGGGCACATCCCCGATAGGGGGTGTGCAGGAGACAGCTGATCGATGACTCTTTCTCATCGATGTTTCTGACTTTCTATCCCTCTCTCTTCCTCTCTTAAAAAATCAATAAAATATATTTAAAAAAAAAAGGGAGGCCAGTTGTGGGTGATCAGGTGGGGGAGGGACAGTTGGGGTTGAGCAGACCAGCAGGGGCCAGTTGGGGGTGAGCAGGCCATTAGTGGGGGTCAGTTGGGGGTGATCAGGACAGTGTGGGGGGGCAGTTTGGAGTGAGCAGGCCAGTAGGGGGAAGTTGGGGGCAGGCACACTGGCATGGGGGAAAGTTGGGGATGATCAGGCTGCTGGGGGGGGTTTGGGGGCTAGTAGGTTGGCAGTGGGGGGCAGTTGGGGGTGAGCAGACCAGCAGACAGTGGTTAGGGGCAATCAGGCAGGCAGGCAGGTGGTTTAGGCCCGATCCCTATAAATTAGCAGTAGGACATCCTTTGAGGGGTCCCAGATTGGAGAGGGTGCAGGTTGGGCTGAGGGACACCCCTCCACCCATGCCCAAATTTCATGCACTGGGCCACTAGTGTGTGTGTGTATGCACACACACACACACACACACACACA